ATACTGTATTTATATTCTTACCATAAGTTGTACAGTATTATTAATTTTTACATGTACTATAATACTTAAAATTTTATGTAATAACGATAAATTCAGTTATTATTAAATTGTATTTAATACTGTACTTAAATAAATACAACCTAAGCAGATTGTATTCTGTCTCTTATACACATCTAGATGTGTATAAGAGACAGGTATTAAGAAGAAATAGATTTAGGCAATAAATAATTCCAATTCTGAAAGTGCCATGGATATTGTTAGTACAGTACAGATACAACACATACAAAAACTTGCATTCCAATAAGTCTATTTATTTTAAAACCATCATTAAGACCAGCATACATTCATAGTTCTTTGTCAATATTGAAATTTCACTTTATAATGCAATTCTATAATAAGTATATTAACATAATAAAAACTAGCACAAAATCATGTAGTAATTTTTTATCAGGGTATTTAAATTTTACTTTATAATGCACTTCACTAGGTATATTTATTTAAAACATAATTAAGACAAGCACACAATCATAGTTATTTATCAATATTTAAATTTTACTTTATAATAATTATTATTTGATATACAGATATGAAATAAACGGCAAATAAAATTCACCCAATACATGCCAGTACTACTATATTAGTATTTAGGATATTGCTCGTGCACAACATATTTTCTACAAAATATATAAATATATATATATATATATATATATAAATATATATAGGCCCTATATATATAGGCCCTATATATATTTATATATGTATATATATATATATATTGACAGACAGACCGACCGACAGACAGACAGACAGACAGACAGACAGACAGACAGACAGACAGACAGACAGACAGACAGACAGACAGACAGAGATAGATAGATAGATAGATAGATAGATAGATAGATAGATAGCAGGTGATAATGAAGAAAGACATAATACAAAGACATAATACTCACGGTTCCGGAACCAATTATTCAAAACCTAGATGAGGAAGGTACAGATTCATACTCTCATTATGTTTACTAGCTGAAGATAAACGGACATAGTATCTAGGCCGAAGACATTATTATTTATGGTTCTTATCTGATATTAACCGGCACATTAAAAACCAGACTAGGCCTATAGGTGTTTAGTTACAAACGAAACATGATATAATGCAGTAATAAAGACTTTTGATGACGTTAGAAAATAAGGTCTGTATAGCAGGGTGATGCACAACAAGAAATACTGTAAATTGTAAAAATGGTAGCCCCGTATTCACAACAAAAGTAGAAATATATAACAGTAGATAGAGCATCGAATGATAGATATAACAAATAATTTCTAGACTTGAAAAATATATTCAGGGTTTCACACTTTTTAATTATCAGGGAGAGACGTAATAAATCATATTCGTTTTCTTGGTTATATTTCACGGAAAACTTTTGGAGCTGAGTTTTCTGATCGAGAAATTCTTTGAAGGAATAGATATTCGATTACCAAAGGAGGACTATACACAAGGATTAATATAAAATTCAACATATACGGTAACGGACATTTCACAAGCACGGCAAACGCCATCACAAAAATATTTCCTTACCTTTTCTATGTATTTAAATGAAGAGATATTTTGAAAATACCCTGTGGGTGAATCTTTCCGTATTAGCTTGTTAATTTGACACAGTCGATCCCGGCGACTGTAGTTTACAGACCAACAGTAGATTTTGTTATAACATGCCAACAAACACTGAACACGATTAATGTTCTCCAGTTCATAAATCCACCCATGCATGGTATGGTCGGATACAACAAAGTATTGGGCTGAACTTGTAATAGAAATGTTATCAGTAAGAACTGACACAACGACGACTAACTTTGCAAAGAGATACATAGTAACACAGTTTGTGTTTCCAATCCACTTCTTAAGTTCTTTACGTTTGATCCGTCGTGGCCAGGTGTGTGCTAATCAAATATCAAAATACAAACAAAAAATTATGTTGCCTCAGAGCTGCAAAATAAACACAATAGAAAGCACGAAATGCTTTTAGATTAATTTTGATTAGTTCACTTACACAATGAACATGATCTCAAGAAGCCTTTTGAAATCATTAACATAAAATCACACAATGGTCATAGCCCCGAATAATTATATTGCCTAAAAACATACATTTGCTCGAATTAACCAATATTTAAAGAGCTCGCACAATAAAAAGGAATGAAAGTATTACATTTTTGTAAATCAATCATGAAGAGGAAAGTAGGGGCACTTCCATGATAGTGGTGAAATATATTTATTTACACAGAGGCATCAGTTTGTAATTAGTGGCATTAGGAATGAAATAATATAATGTTTATTAAATGTAATGGAAACTTGCACATAAACACACACACCCACACCCACACATATTATATACATACATATATATATATATATATATATATATATATATATATATATATATATACATATATATGTATCTATATATGTATACATACATATTTATATATATACATATATATGTATATATACATATAGCCAATAATAATTCACATTAACAAATGATTCAAATTGACAATGATGATGATTCAGTTATTTATAATGCAACGAAATATTACCACGCTAACGAATTTTCAAACGCATACCGTAAACTTAAATGACACACATTATATTTCTCTTCTCTGTCTTAACTGCCAGATTATGGTCTAAAATGATTATTATCAGTCAACTTATCTATTCACTAAATTATGAATTTTCTGTTATCGAATTTACAGAAACATGGCTAACACAC